AGCGTGTGTGCGGGTGTGTGGGTATACAAACACTGCCTGGGGAGGGGGACAGGACATTTAATTGCAGTCTGGACCTTATCCAGTACATGTGGCATCAGGCAACAGCTTCTCTAGAGCTGACACTTGACAGAGCAGTGGAGGCTGAAGCCCAGTCCTCTCCATTTTCACAAGACCCTCAAGGGCACGTGGATACTCCCTACAACTGACAGCCGGGCAGGGTGAAGGGGACTTGGCTACTGAGCCCCAACAGGCAGCACAGGCCATGCTGGTCTCCAGCTCAGTCTGCAAGGCTGCCCATGGCTCTGCAAGGCTAGGTGAGCTCTGCAACCAAGGAAAATGGTTCCAAAAGAAGATGCAGACAGAGCAGATTTGTTTGCTATTTTTATATGGTTTCTTACCACAGAAGAACACACTCAAAGCTCTTAAGCCATTAAACTTTAAAGAAGAAGAGCTTTTTCAGAAGCTGTGCTTTGATGTAACTGGGCAAATTCATCTTATTGCTTAACCAAATCAAGATCTAAGAGTCTGCTCTCCACCCTCTTTTTTTCTTTTTTTTTTTAAAAAAAACTAACCTCCAGTTTTAAGCTGCAATCCTATTTCCGTAAGTATGCACCTCTGCTATTACAGATTGCTAAATGCAAATACACAACATGTGGTCCTTCATCTTCCATCTCAGCACTAGCATTTACAGAAACAACAGCAGTGTTTACAAGCGATGTTCATTGCAGGCTGTTAGAAATCCTCCACAGTCTGCATTGGGCCACACACCCGAACCGTTTTTTACTATAGCCCAGAACTTCTGTCAGAAACACCCAATGTCTTTTTCGATTTACAAATCTTATAGTAATAGTAGCAGTTAATGGGGCTCCTAGAACAACAACAATGACCATGTTAGTTACTTTGGGCTCTTTAGAGTCCTCACACATATGGGACACCTCCACAGTGGTCTCATTCCTTAAGTTTATACTCCCGAGTACCTTGCATCCAGTGTGAGTTCGGGTCTTCATGAGGGGAGTTGTGGTACACAGCTCAATGGCTTCTGGTTCGTGGAAGATCACTGTTGGGAGAGGCTCCTTCCGAAGAGTTAGGACATTCAACTTAGTCTTTAACATGGTCTGAAAGTGCTAAAGGAAGAAAGAAAAGCAATTATCTCCAGTTTGGGCGCAGAAAAATGAAAGTTAAGAGTTGGATGTGTCTGAATGTTTCATGTGCTGTTCAGTGCCTTGGAAATCTCCGCAGTGAGAGTTAAGGAGTTTTATATCTTAAGAAAGTGAATATGCATTATTACTATTAGCAAGGTGGAGACTTTTCAATTAAAGAGATTTAAGCACACAAAATGAGAAGATTCTTTAGAATCCATCTATGTCTCGAAAAGGTTCTAAATTCAACCTCTGATCACTCTCAGGCATATTCTAAAACTGTTCATAGACCTGGGTCCTCTACTGATGACCACACGGAGAAAAAACAGGAGATCAAAGACCATTCAAAGAACTATGGATTCATTCATTGTTTTCCTTCCTCTGTACTTAAATCTCATTCCATTGACCTTTGTAGATGTTACTGTTCCCACTGAGCTGAATGCCTCATCAGTCTGCCTTTAGCATGTGAATTTTCAATTCTCTTCCCTTGTAAGCAGTGGTTCCTCTAGTCTCCAGTGTAAATGCCACTGCTGGTACTAACCAATAGATGTCATTCAAAACTTGTCACTTGCTATAAAAGACAAGAAATAACTCCCCAGGTTCAGGTGAAGAACTATCCAAGTGGACAGTAATGTCAATGAATTAAACGTTTCTCAGCAATTGCCTAGAGTGAAGAAAGCCAGTCCTTGAAAGATTTCCAAATAAATTTTGTGGAATCAAGAGAATCAGAGTAATTTTTCAACGTTTAGATGTTTCTTTGAAATGACCTTCATTTGAAAAACTTAACATTTTCACTTGGTGCTACATATCTAAGGGGGAAAACATGCAGATATGAAGCAAATCAATATAGTATTCCCAGCTAGTAACATACTGCAGCACTCTCTGAAGAAATATACATTTATTAAAGCTTTATAACTTGACTCTTATAAATCAGTAGTTATTATACATGCAATGACTCCAGATTACTTTTATCAAAACCAAACCATTTGTTCTGACTTTTGGTGGGAGATTCCTCACTTGTTTTGCAGTCACCCCTTTCCTCAGCCTCCCCTTCTGCAAGGCAGACAAACATCATGGAGTCTGGCTTGCAGAAAGAGAGGTGCTAAGTGATTTCCCAGAATCATATGAGAAGCCTCTATCAGAACTAGGAAAATCAACTCAGATCCTTGCTTTTCAGTCCCGTGCTTTAGGTGAGGAGAGTGCCTATTAAACACTTTATTTATACACAGAGGATGAATCAACTATTTAGATACTATGCAGTTTTCATATGGATTTTTGTGGATTTGTGTATTCCATTGAAAATGCATGAGAATTTCTTGGAAATAAACTTCCTACTTAATTCATAAATACTTTATCATTAGCTGACTGAAAGCCTGTTAATGCACTTCTAAAACAGTTTAATCCTTAGTTCATCAGTGTTTAGGTCTCATAATTGTTCAGATACTGGATCTACAGCACCTTAAACCTCTCATAAGCATGTTCAAGGCATAAACAATAACAGCCTGTGAAAATAGTACTTGTTTTCCTACTTCATGCATGAAGTTACAGCCTGTTACAGCAATACTTTAGGGCCTCCATGCTGTTTGTGCAAGCATTCATATTTCCATCTCAGTGAAGAAATCTACTTGTATTATTTTTCATCTGGCTCATATTACATGTTATCCCATTCACTCTCCCCAACACATCTCCAGCAAAAGAGCACTCTATTTAAGATGATTATACATTAAAATACATTCTTTGACATATGTTTCTGAAGATAATAAAGCTCTTTGCCAGCCATGATTACTGAACTCACTGAGAAAACCTATTTCATATTACCTTTCAGTTGCCATTAGCAGCCTTTTGGTTGGAGTTTCCTAGGTTTCTCTGGTGAAGTCGTTAGCAAAGGCTAAACAACAGCTAACCAGCCACAACGAGTGCAAAGCAAGATCAAGGTTTGAGATTCTGAGTTTGAAGGAGCACCACTGATTACCAACCACAGCACTGGGCTTGCCGGTCCCATTAACTAATTGCTGTCTGCCACAACTGTAGTTCACTCTATTAGCTTGACTTGCTTTCCTATATAGGCTCTAGGTTGGCTAACTTGCTGCAGAGGTGGTACTTCTGGAGGAGAAAATATGCAGAAGGAAGAGGGTGCCAGAGTCCCACTGCATGCAGATCGTGGTGATTCCCTACCTGTGACCAGCCCCTTTTCAAGCACGGAGAAATGCTGTCTCCAAGGTCATCTGCTGCTTTGTGTGTGCAGGGCACGGGAGAGGAAGGTAGAGATGGAAAACTTATCTAAATGTACTTTTAACCTGAAGTTGTGCTATTTTGCTGGCAGGCCAATTTTGGATCAAACCAGAGATAATGGTTGGGAAAAAACAGGTTGAAGAAGAACCTGTCACAGCATTTAACTTCTCTGTCCCTGTGTGCTGAAAGAGCACTGTTTCCATAGATAATCTGTTTACAGAGGTTCTCAAATAAAGAATGGTGCTTCCATTAGACACCCAATAAATGACAAAACTCTATTTAGCCCCTTTGAGTACTAAGCTTGTACTCCAAAGTGGTGGTTCTCCTCTGCTAGCATCTTATCAACTTCAGTGGAACTACTGACAGACAGAGCACAATTTGAACAAAATGAGGAAAACTATGACAACGATCTACTTTTTTTTCATGTTTTAACAACCACATATACAATGTTAAATAAGGAAAAGACTGCTCTCTGCCTTACAAAGGCAATTCAATACTTGTATGAGCAACAATTTGGAGTGGTTGGGTGCCAAAAACACTAGAGCACAATTGGCAGCAGACAGATAATTAGTCGCCAGAGAAGCGCAGGACGGATTGGGGGTGGACACAGAAATAGCCTTTTGCTTTGGACTGCACAGCTAGCGCAGACAGGGCTGTGCGCCCTGCACACAGGTCATATGATGACTGCCATAAGGAAATCAAGTCTCTGCCAGGAGACATCACGCAGTGAGCCCCCAAATAAGCAAATTATTTAAACACATGCCTAACTTTCACTATGTGAGCAGTCCCAGTAAAGCACACGTGGGTAGTCAATGGGATTATTCATGTGCTTTAAGCCAAGAACAGGATAAAGTGCTTCGCTGAACCCATTTCTTAGTTTCCACTCCAAACTGGCATCTCCCGCAGAAACTGTTGGCAAATGCTGACCTATAACAGTAGCCAATGTACTTTTTGAGAAAAGGCATTAGCTCTTCACTGCTGTGAGCCCAGAATATTTCTTTAAAGTGCTTTAAGTTCAAGAAGTTATTGAAAACCATGACTTTGGGAATTCAGTGAATAAGAGTTCAGGCAACATTATGCCATTCGCATCTCATGTGCCAGAACCACTAGGTTCATTGGGTAGCTCCTATATTGAAAACCATCAAAAGAAGATATTCTTAACTGGCATGACTATAACAGCAGCTCAAAACTGCACATCATTCATCCTTTATCCATTCAGATGGTGCCACTGATACAGACTTAATGTTTGAAAGAAATGCAAGGAGCAACATAACAGTAAGAAATCAGCAGCAAGTTTCAAAATTTCTTGAGCAAATAAAATAGCTTAATAGCCAAAGAAAGGATCGCAGGTGTACTTAGCATTGAATTTTCCTATTTGCTGAACATGAAATCATTTGGAGTAAAATTTAAGTAAAGCCTCCAATAACATTGGAAAATTATTTTCATTAAAAAACCACAGTTTCACTTATTCAAGGATTCAAATTCCATCATTTTCTTTTGCTTAGTTTACCAGTCTTAATAGCTTCCTTCCCCCTATAGAAGAAAACTGAAGGGTGTATAACCGGTAGCCCAAACCCATAGCAGGCCAAGACTGTCACTACAGAGATATATACTTGCCTCCTGGTGACCTTCAAAGTGCTCTCTATTTCAATGAAAACTGTCATCACTAACCCTCTTAGCTGTTAATTGAACATAGGAATCAAGAAAAAACAATCTAAACTGTTTTCAATCCATATTTTGTTATCAACTCAATAGCTACACATTAGCTCTAGATTAACTATTTCACAACATTCAATCTGCAAATTTTAGGTGCTATGTATTTAGTCCAAACAATTTCTGTTGCTGTTAAAACTGAAAACTAACAGTATTTGGGTTCTGGTTTAGTTTGCCAGCAAAAATACAGTCACTTCCACAACGCAGGCAAAATGTTTTGTAGAAAGGCAATTAAACATGCCTTGGAGGAGAAAAGTATGCGCTGACAAATTACAATAGTAACACTTAACACTTCTGCACAGATCTTTGTCCTCAGGTCTCAACTAAACAGTCACTGCTGTTCACAACATGGAGTACTCAGCTGCCAAGCCTGGGCTAGGAGATCTTTTCATTTTCATGCTGGAAATCAAAGACTCAAATTCAATAAATCTAAGAAAGGGTTATATCTTGGATGTGAATACAAAAATAAACGTCAAGAAAGAGGGAACTGTAACTCATTGTAATCTGTAATCCAGCCATAGGAGATGAGCAAAAAGAACATGGTTTACAGGTTAATTGGGTTGTGACATGGTGAGCTTAAGTCTTCAGCACCTCAGCCCTCATTATCACGTAATGTCAGCCTTACAATCAACATATGACTGCATAAACTGGCATCACATTTCCAGATGACCCATATTTGGCCAAATTTTGCCAAAGACATACATTGAGCACAAATCCCAAAATGACAGGATGTCAGTTTGTGAAAGAGTTATTCTAACAGTTCAAAGTCTCTGTGAGCAAGAAGCAATCGTCTGCGCAACTTATCCTTCTACAGCACCTACATAGGAATTCCCAGATGAAATCCATGTTGGAGCACCAGCAAAAGATTAGGCCCTGGGAAATTAAAAAACAACCTCTATAATTTAATACTTCAGTGCAAGTACTTCCTCTACCTTTGAAATTCACTTAGTTCTGGAATGAAACCAAAACTTTTCAACATCATCCCTCAGCAAAACACAGCAGCCTAGGAGGGGAAACACGCAACCAAGTGCAACGA